CTAAAAAGGTGTGCGGTGCGTGGTAGTGTGTCCATCTCGTTGTTGCATCGCCGTGGGGCTTATTTTAGCCGGCAATCAGAAATGATGGTGTTGATCGCGCGAACTGGGTAAGAAGGGCATTTTCGGCTCATCGGTGAAGTATCTCTTCTGGTAGGTTGGTGACGATTCTGGAGCGTCTCGCAGTCAGATATGGGACCAAGAGCATACCGGATCAGTCAGTCTTGGAACAGTTACAGGATTGAAGAGACTTGATTTCCAATACATTTGCATCAACGAGATACGGGTGCTACACGAATGAGCCGTTTTGTTCTCCTAAGAAAGCAAGCAGTAGTCTACGTACAGTATCTGGATTGTCCATTTGCATGGCTTGTCAGAGATGGAAGCGAGCCACGGGAAAGAGGTTCACAACGCCTTTCAGGCGTTGGAGATCAGACGTTATTAGAGACGGATCGCGTACGACGCCTCCAGACGACGACGTTGAAGGGCTTGAGCCATGCCCAACAGCAGCGTAGCACCCTTATAACTCTTGATGACAGAGGTGATTCACGTGAATGACAGCGGTGATATGTACAGTTGTATGCATGGGCACGAACTCTCTATTCCTCTTTATGACATCACAGGATGAAGATGGACCCGGCGAATTCCGGTACAGGCCATGTGCGCTTCCTATCAGAGCCAACTTCCGGGATTGTATGGTGGCTGCTTCCGCTTCAACTCTGGCTTGACGGCCTCAAAGTCATAGCCTTCTCGACCCCGCCTGATGGGGGCCAAGAGCACGTCAAGGTCATCCTCTACTAATGGCGAGTCTGGTTCGTCTCCAGCTTGCACCTCCACGTCCTCCCTCTGTCGATATTCGGACGGATGGAATCTATCCTCCACAGACATAGTGTTTGTTTCATTCATAACGCTCTCGAAACGGCTGCAAACATCTCGCAGCTGTACCACAACTTGTTCGATGTCGGACATGAAGGCGGTTCCTGTGAGAGCCAAGCTTTTCCAATAGTCAAGTTCTTGCCTGAGGCGGCCGGAGTCTCTCACAAGTTCTTCGAGACGTTGTTCCTTACTGACCGGTGCCTTCTGAGACTGTATGGTGCTGTTTGCGAGGTCGGTTGCGTGGGTTCTCCCGCCCAGGGCCGCGACTGCGTTGTCTATGTCGCTTGGTAGGCGCGGCAGACCGTTTGATCGGCGAGGGCGCTTCAAAGGTCTGGCCGCCATGTCGGATTGCCATAGAAATGAGGTGGAGTGCTGTTGGGTTGCCGAGCGAAGTACGTGACATGGATCACCTTATGTGAGGACGGACACTGCGTTTGCCAACCGCGAAACTGACGCCAGATGTAGACGAGATATAATTCTCGTAAGCGTAGCAAGGTTGTCTGGTCTTCTTCGGGCTGCTCTCGTCGCCAACTCGATGAGCGAAGAACCAGAGATTTCCCGGATGCGTGAGCCAGGAGATGATCTCGTCTTGATATAGCATACTCTATGCATGGATGCCGTGGGTATGTATGGACTGTACAGCACAATTATCAACTTTGAGGCTATCTCTATGGCCCCGGCGTCGTTGCAGATACTTTGCAAAAACGGCCATTCAAACGCTGACCGTCGAGCCGTTGGTGGCTTCTGCAAAACCCGGTTGCGTAGAGCCTCGCTTCTCAGAAGGCGGTATCGGATGTCGTAACGAGCTTACACGTACGAAGAGCACAATGTGTCTTGTCCAAAAACAAAGGCAGTCTAGAGCCATGGTTCGAACGATATAAATCTCTCCATTGGCGATGACATGAGCTGGGCTACCGAGTCACCCCAGACGCGCTGGAAGAGATCATGGATTCCATGTGGTGAGCGGCGCACTCTCACATTGTCACATAGGCATCCTGCTAATGGTAGTTAGGACCAACCTGCTTAGACAAGATGAGCGGTGCTGCCTCGCCATCTGCCTGGCGGTCAATTGCCCTCACAACGGACTGACCGACGACACGTGGTATCCGCCGCTGAACAGAGTCAGAGAAGACATGAACAGCACCGCGGGAGATCGGTTTATCGCCTACATCATAAGCTGCCTGTGTGGGCCGCTACAAGGCAAAGAGTTCGTCGTCAAGGTCGCGGCGCTTCTCGCGTGCCTGAAAGTCCGCGAAGCGCCCGAGGAACACGACGATGGCCCGTCGGACAACAGAACCAACTTGTTGTTCGAGTTTGACAAGGCACTGAATTTTGACTTTGGAAACATGCTCATCACCATCAAAGTGCTCGAACAGGTTTTGATGTTCTCGGCGCGGATTTGGGAAATCCATGCGCCTGAAGACACCGTTCACCCCGGGACTTTGCCAGCGACTTTCGATCTCTGCGATGATTCGGTGTCGAGAAAGATGCTATACATGTACTGCTGCGTACGGATCTTGTTTCCCGACACTCACGAGGCGACCATGCACCGGACACGGGCCGTCTTCCAGATGAGCTCTGCAGATGCGGCCGAGCTGTTTCTCGATACGCCCAGCGACGACGAGCTGGAGTCAGGGGGGCACTCAATGTGTGACGTGGACGAGGACCTGTTTGACGGCGAGGGCGACGAGCCTTACCGTTCTGACATGTCTGGCGCTGAATCTGACGAAAACTCAGACCTGTCGGAAGGAAGGAAGTTAGACGACGATTATGGTGATTCAGACGTCTCAGACGAAAGCTATGGGCCTGGCGCAGAAGAAGACGATAGCGATATAGAGTAGATACAGAGTAGTTGCCGAGTTCATTACGCATGGGCATGTGTCATTCAATAATTCCCTCATAACTATCCTTGGAAACTTTCATATTCCTTCATATTCCTTCCATGTCGTTTGCGTGTCAAGAAATGACCTACCCCGGTATCTCCCAAACGTCCAGAGAGTGTTCTGTATGCCAATGCCCTGTGTTCTGTACCGCGCAACGAAGATACCGCTCTTGAGGCTGTGACATGTGCGATGCATTGGTGTTGCTGGTGATGGCTTGCATGGAGCCGGAGATCACCTCCCTCACCTTTAAGTCAGGTTGCAAAGCACGAAGCATCAAGTGACGAGCCCAATGATGCTGCGAAACTCGTAGCGAAAGACCGGAAAGATAAGTCGAGGAATCCGTCCGCAAACTGCCCACCAGCGGCGTAAGTGGCTTCTTGTCATTGGCGCCTCGGCGCAGGAAGCAAGTTTTGTTGACTGTGCTACGATCAGAACCAGAAGTGCCTTCTTGAACCATACACACCCCGTCTATTTCATTGAATCTCTCCCGCAGCGGAATGACCTCCAGCTACAGCATGCCAGGTCGGCCGGCGTCGAAACACCGGTGGCACCACCGCCAAAGTCTGTGTCAGCATCTCCGCGCTTTTCATCGACGTCTCATATGCGATGTCTCATCGATCATGGACTCTCGCAGTGCTGGCCCTCCAGCTTGCTGTCGCCGCCGTGAATGCAGCGTCGGCCCTCGAGATCCTCTCGCAGGTCCCCTCGTGCGCTGTGAGTGATTGTGGCATCAGCCAGGCTTTCGTCGCACTAAAGCATCCACCATCTAGTCGGAGTGCATCAGCAGCACATTCATCACGTCGGCCTGCGATCCAGAAGACGTGACCGCGTGCATCTGTCTCGACATTGCTGTCCAGTCGGAGCTTTCGACATGTGTGCAGACGAACTGCCCGTTTGACGATCAACTAAGTTCGCCCCGCTGTTTCCTCTCTGGAAGCCCATCTGACCTTCTGAAGCTGCAGCGACGGTAGAGGGGGCCCTGTGCGAAGGGTACCCCAAACCATCGCGGAGGACGGAAGTCCGACGGACGCTCATCATCAGCTGCAGTCTTGTGCTGTTTATCGTGACGCTTCGTCTTTTCACGAGCAAGCAGTATGCGGGTGGTCTATGGAGGGACGACTACATGGCCATCCTTGCGGCGGTACCCCACCCCAACTCTCCACGAAATCCTTTCTGATGTCGTCTGTCAGGCACTCCTCATCGCCTTGGCCGCGGTCTATCTACACATTACAAGCATTGGCTTCGGCATGCACTACTGGACGATACCGGTTGGTAATGGGGTCGTCATCCGAAAGGTTCGGTGATATGATCCCGCCGGATGTTCGCGAATCGTGGTATCCCGTCCTAACGCCGAGTCAGATGCTGTACGTCGGGAACTTGATCTACACCGTCCTTCAAGCCGCCGTGAAGCTGTCGATCGTGCTCTTCCTCGGCCGCATCTTCCCGTCGGAGACCTTTCGGAGGATCGCACAGGGCCTCCAGGCCATTCTGCTCCTGCATGGCACGCTCTTCATCGTCCCGTTCGCGACGCAATGCGTGCCTGTGCAGTCGATATGGGACCGGACCATCACCGACCGCCGATGTCTAAACTTGCAAGCTGTGGGTTACAGCAGTGGCGGACTGGCCATGGCGGAGGACATCGCCATCTTGCTCCTGCCGATCCCCTACGTGTGGCGGCTCAAGATTTCTCTCCGGCGACGCCTGGCCGTCATCGCGCTGTTCAGCATTGGTTCATTGTGAGTTAAGTCTCGTCCCGGCAGAAGGGTGGGAGGAGAGGCTCACGGCAGACAGCGCGTGCGTGACGTCGGCGGTCCGGGTCAGATACCTGGTGGAGTACAGCACCACGTTCGACGAGACGTGGGACCATGTCGATATTGTGGCGTGGTCGTTCATCGAGCAGTCGACGGCGATGCTGTGTGCGAGCTTGCCCAGTCTGCGTCTGCTGCTCGTCAGCGTCTGGCCCCGACGTCGGTCTACGGCGTCGGAGCTTTCAGCAAGGACAGTCCGAAAGGTGGACCCGGTCCGTTGACAGACTGAGGCGACACAAGACGCAGATACGCAGAGACAGCGGACCCGGTCCGTTGACAGACTGAGGCGACACAAGACGCAGATACGCAGAGACAGCGGCCCCGGGCCGCAGCACACGGGCGACGGCGTGCTTGTGACGACCACGGTGGAGGTCGATTGGCAGTCCTACGTGGCTCTCGACGTGCCGCCCTTCCCACCGCCTGCCTATTCTGGGCGTAGCAACAACACATAGCAGCAAGTCATGAGAAAGGGGAGAGTGGGACAGTATCTTTCAGGAATCTATGATGAGCTATGATGAGCCATGATGAGCCATGATGAAGGGTTATTGCTGGGGCATGTTGCTGCAAGTTTTCCGTGAAAGGAAAGCGACGCAAAGGCGAAGTACACGGCAACATTGCCATTATTAGGCGTTGGAGTTTGACGGGTGTCTGGCTACTCGAAAGGCGGCGCAACGAGTCATGAGGTAGTTCACACAGCGATGAGTTTAGTACATGAATCGAATACGGTATTTCCTTGTAGAGATGGAAGCCATAGTGCATGTCCCAAAGGATACATCGAAAAGTCTGCCAATGCTCCAGCTGCAGTTTTCCAGGCCGTATTGCCGCCGAAGCCTTGTGTCGTGATGATGTTTTCTTCGTGCAAACCTCTGGGCCTTTTGGTGGGCGGTTCTTTTTTTGGGGGCCTTTCTGGTGCAGTGAACACCTGAGTTTCGCCCGTCTCTCCTTCAATTACGTAGAGCTGCAGCCCCACTTCCCTGCTCGTGAGTGGCTCGCCAGGCGATCTCTTTACCGCAATTCAATTCTGGCACCAAACCAGCGACAGACAGCAAATGAGTGATAAGGGAAGTTGAAGACGACCCGATGCTAGCGAATGTCAGTGCTCCTCAGGCGCCATGACGCTAGCCCTGTGGGCGGTCGAGATTGAGATCGTACCTTGCATGCTGTGCGATGGGATGATTAATGGTGATTGACGAACCCCAAAGCCCGCCATGTTCCCGCAGCAATGCGCGCGGAGTCCGTCCCGCGTTCCGCCTAGCAGGTCCCCGCAGCCGTTTTTGGCCGTTCGCCTACCGGTACGACGGTGGCCGTTCTTTCTGAGTGCCGTCGGTAGGGAAGTCGAATGGGCCCCTGCTGCTTTGTGGGAGTCGAGCCCGCCGAGGCCCGGTCTTGGTCCCGGGAAGGGGGTGGGTTTCTCCAGCACGCATCCAATACCAGCGTAGAAGCAACGATCGGCCACTGGCTGCGGCGTACTCCGCGAGCCCCATACAACGACATCCATATTCGGCTTTTCAGCACGGATGGCTCCCAAACGCTCTCGTAAGGGCAGGTCTTTGGCGGCGGGATACACTCCTGGATCCCACTGCCGACGGAGCAGAACATAGCGCTGTGCAGCGGTGCAAATCCGTAGCAGGTCGTGGTTTCTTGCTTATGGGTCTCTGACAGCAACTGATCCGCAGTAGGCACACGGCGAAGAAAGTGCGTCCATCTTTTGGGGGGGACTCATTCTGGCGCTGGATGCCATACCACCGGCGACTGGGAGACTGCAATTGGGAAAAACACCAAGCCATGGCTTACGAATAAGAGCGCGAAATGAGAGCGTTTGTCGAACGTTTGTCGAACAAGTGAATTTGTTGGACTCACTGGCGTGCCGACTGTAGCCGAACGCTTCGACTGTTTGATCTGAAAGCAGGGCTTGCCCATCGTCAAGCAGCAAGCAATGGACCCGCTTTGCACGTCCCTCTTTCCTCCAGAATGCATGTCTCCTCCATCCCCTCGACCACCACACAACCGTACATCTCATGAGGACGAGAGCGCAGGCCAGAGTGGCCGGCAATCCCAGCTGCAACCAGTGCCAGCACGAAATGGCACGCCGCAACACAGCTCCAGCGTGGACCCGGCCTTCCCACGCCTTCCTGACACCGCCATCGAATCATCGCCGACGGCCGACACGCGGTTGGACGAAGGCGGGCAGAAGATGACGTACGCGCAACTCATCTACATCGCGCTCCACAGCACAGAAAAAAAGGCGATGGGACTAGGCGAACTCTACCACTGGTTTGAGCAAAACACCAGGAGAGCCCACAGGGGAGGCGAAGGATGGAAAAACAGCGTTCGTTCGAACCTGAGCGTAAACAAGGTATGCTAGCGAGTCGCGCCAGCGTTGTGACGGTCTAGTCTTTCCTGCTAAGTCGTAATCTGTGTTGCACAGGCCTTCCAACGAGTGGAACGCAAAGGCTCCCTCTGGCAGCTCGCGGAGGCAGGGTTGACGGAATTCCAACCAACGCGTAAGCCCCGATCGGATCGCGGAGCGAGTCGTGGGAAAAAGGCTGGGGGATCATACAAATGGAAGATCAGCGTCGCATCGCCGCCTCCTCCGTCTTGCGCACCCACTCTGCAGGATCACTCGAAGGAAAATGTGTCCGGAAGTGATTGCGGCGACGATGGGTTTTGGTCATTTGACGGCGGCTTCACGTCGCCTGAGAGCAGCCAGCCTGAAAGCGGAACCTCTACCGATTATCCATCGCCGGTGCCGATGACTTCGACGCAAGATGGCTTGGAGCACATGCATGATCCGTTATGGGCTTGGAACCTGGATAGTGGGCGCTACGTCCACTGGCCCTACTGCAGCTGCCTCTGTGGCCGACAAAACTTTTGTTGGACAGACGTGAATGAAATGGTGCCATTATGCGCCCCGACAGCGTTTGCTCCCATGTTGACGAGCATGGGCGTGGGTTCTAGTCCGCCGTCGGAAACGTGCGTGCAATGGGAGATCTGACGGTCGAATCTGGTCTTGGCACATTAGAAGTACGTTATACCACTGGGGCATGGATGGGCCACTGTCCGAACGGCGGAGAGATAGAAATACAGACGGCGAATACTGTACTGTAAGATACAGTATGTGCTGTCGTGCCAGAGAATGCATGCGCCAACTCGATCTTCCCGCTCTTCATGTGTGTTGGAACGCTCGCTTGCGAAGCCGGATGGACCTTCGCTTGACTTTGAATGAAGTTTGGGACGCAAATGGCTTCAGAGCATTGGCGATTGGATCGCGGACGATTAGATTCATCCAGGTCGTCGGGCCCAAAGTCCATCTACCCAGCCCATTTGGCTTCCGAGTTGCTGCTGCCTATAAGACAGACACGCGCCTCGTCTGCCCGGTGTGACGACCCCTCATCCAGTGCGCAACATGACCCGTTGTAAACACACTGGCTGGCTGCGCGTGGCCGCCAAGACCAGGCGTACGTCGTCGAAGGCTCGGATCGTGCCCAGAGTCTGCTGGACAGTCTGCCACGCCCGGATAGCCAGTACCCGAGTATCCTCGTGCTGATTGGAAACGCGGCCAAGCGCGGCCAAGCGGGTTGCCCTGCAAAGACTGTGGACATCACCAGGCCCAACACGACCCGGGGCCACGGCGAGATCCATCTTAACAAGGCTCCTGTCGGCGCGTCCGGCGCAAGGCCGACGCTGATTGCCGATGCCGACGTTCCGCCCCATAAGCGGCTCGGGAGGCCGAGGAAATCCACGCTCTGCCATGAAGTCGTAGCAAGGCCACTGTCGATCTCTCACGGTGGAAACACCTCGTCCGCGATGCCGTCCGCGATGCCGCCCACGACGGTAGAAGCTGGTGATCAGATCTATAATCGCATGCTTCTCCCGTTTGCTGATGCTGTGTGTTTCTTTGCCGACGATATCGGCGGCGTAGAGGTCGTCGCCCAGCGTCTTGCGTCGTGGCTGGACCTGAGTACGCCGTCCACGTCGTCGGTGCGGCCCTGGTTAGTGGTCGTCGTGAACGGCGACGAGGAGGATTCCGCACGAAGTCGCCTGCTACAGTCAATCCGCCAGAGGACAGACGCCCACGTGTCCGAACGATTCCACGGCGTCCGCGTCATCAGCCTGGCCGACAAGACACCTAAGTCTCTCCGACGCCGCCTCGATTCCCTGCGTTGGGACATACTCAGCAACGAGCTGTCCTACATGACGGAGACGAAACGGGTCGAGCGCGTGCTCGCCAGCTGCCTCTTCTCGGCCACCCACCTCGCCGGCCTTCTCCGCCACGCCACAGAGCACGCCGGCGGTGCCGGCGCGCCGCCCCTCGACTTCCTCGCCGTCTCCCGGCTCGATAACCCGGTGGCGGCCGATCTGCCGGCGCACCTCGCAGGGTTCCTCACGCACTGCGACTCCGTCGACGACCTGAAGAGATTCGCCGTGCCTGTCATCGCCTCCAGCTTCATACTGGACCAGTACCCTCCGGACATGCACCGTACGTTCGCGAGCATGCGTCACCTTTTGTCCTCACTGACGGCCCGCAGTCTTCGATCCGCGCGACGTCTTCCAGATGTTCTACAAGGACGTATGCCACAACGTGTGCGGCACCGCCGTCCTCGCGCACGAAGGGTCCACCGACTTCCTCCTGCCGTCTCAGTTCGCCAAGATGGTCGAGGGGCAGATGGCCCGTATGTTCCGGCAGCTGACGACGGGCCAAGCCTCGGCGTCGCTGCATCGACAGCTTGTCGCCGCCTTCGCGGAGGACTGGGTCCAGCTCAAGTCCAACAGCACATGCTACCTTTGTCTGCGGCGCGCTCCGCAGGTCTTCCCCGCGTGCGGTCACGGTCACTGTCTGAACTGTGTCGAGGTGTTTGGCGTCGCAAGCGCGGCCGACCCGTGGCTTATCGAAGTGGCCGAGTGTATCCTCTGCGGACAAAACATTGACATGCAGATACGTGTGAAGCCGGACACCGCGTCGGTTCGGGTCTTGTGTATCGACGGCGGCGGGACGCGCGTACCCTCAAGGTGTTGAAGCAGCTCGAAGACGATATCGGGCTGCCCGGCCATCCGGTACAGCAGAACTTTGACGTCGTCTTCGGGACGAGCTCAGGTATGTCGCGGGATGCCGTCGTTGTTGCGAGTGAAGATGGGGGCGACTCCCCTGGCTGACCGATCGCGACAGGTGCCATCAGCGCCGGCGCCCTCTGCATCAACGGGTGGACGGTGGATGAGTGCATCGCCCGCTTCGAGTCCCTTTCGAACCACGCGTTCACGCCTCGCCGCGTTCCGTCTGTTCCCATCATAGGCCCTCTCATACGACTGATGATGCGGATCCCCTTTTTTGCCACGGTCGTGCGTGCCGCAGCCTTGCTTCTTTTCGACAGCAGGTACCCGTCGCAGCACATCGAGAAGGCTCTGCAAGACATGTTCGGCTCCGGCAGAAGCATCGCCGACTACTCGGCGGCCGACACGATGGGTGCTATGGTTGGCATGACGGTTGCTACCGTGCAAGACGCAAGCGCCTGCATCTTCACCAGCTACAACGGAGTGGGCCAGCGGGCCGGCGATCGCGGTAGCCTCCCCGTCTCCGTCCCTGTCTCCGTCCCTGTCTCCATCCCCGTCGAGGCCATTCGAAGCGCGCGAGCCGATGCTGACGGACTGTATAGATTATGAACTCCTGAAGACAACTGCCGATGGGGGCCGCGTGGCTTTGTGGGAGATGTTTGTGGTTTCCCGCGTGATTCTATGTGAGGCCTGCGGCTTCCGGTGACTGAATGGCTAATCCGGTTTGCAGTGTCCGATGTGCAACCGCTGCTCCGTAGTCCGTGCCAGCCCTTCTTGATTTCTTTTGTTTGTTTTCTCTCTCCCCCATTTTGTCCTTTTCGTCTTTCTCTTTTCTCCTTCTTCTTTTCTTTCCCTTCCTCTTCACGTCTCGCTCTCTTTTCGCCATCCTACAATTGGATGGCGCAAACAACAAACAGCCGGGTGCTGCGAAACGCCGCTAACAATGCCATAGCTATTTCGCCTTGGTCTGAAGGCCTCGGCACCTTCCAGGACGGCGGCTTAGTGGCCAACAACCCGTCCTCGATCGCGCTGCAAGAGGTGGCCTCCCTTTTCCCTGAAGCGCCACACCCAAGCCTTCTGGCCTCGATGGGCACTGGCTCCTCCTCGAGC